AAAAGAACTTACGACTAAGACCAAAAACTTCAGATTATTGTAAAATTTTGCAAAATTAATAATTCTCTTTGAAATTTTCTGCGTAAAAATATCTTACCACATTCTTTTTAAAATGTTTAAAATAATTTTCGATATAATGTTAATTAAAAAGTTATATGAATAATTATACTTGGTCTTAAGTCGTAAGTCCTTTTGTAAAACGGGCCCCAGGTCTATTTCGGCTGCACCTCGGGAAATAGTCCTGATCTTAGGGAACTGCAATCTTGCTAACTCCCTCAATGAAATACTTCAACTGTATACTAATTCCATATAAATCATTATGAATGGACTAATCCCAGTGCGTTAGTCAAGTGAGCTAATTCCTGCTTCGAAGATTGTTTCACGGTTAATCGTAATCTTCTAGATTTTACTTTTACATGGGTGTGATATGTGATTGGAGTAATCCCCGTGTGATAGTTCAGTGAGCTAATCCCTACTTTGAAATCACGCTATCTGAATCCTTTAAATTTTACGTTTGTGTCGGTGTAATAAAACAGTTATAAGTATATCATTGCGGGAGTTAGCAAGATTCAAGTTCCCCTCGGCCAGGACTACTAGTACATGTATTTTGGGAAATAATCCTGGCCTTGGAGAACTTGAATTTGCTAACTCCCTCCCTTAATGATATACTTTGACTTTATATTATCATCCAATATCAACTGGATGCAAGAAGCTGGCACACAGGGAGTAAAATTGAATGAAATTTAACAAAATTGAACGTTTTCTCTTCATGGTTGTTTTCTTCATCAAATTTTATCAATATGTGATATTCAACTTAAGTTCTACCAGATAAACACTATTCTATGTGAGCAATATAATTTGTTTCTTGATTTAATGGGTAGTAAATTCTTAATGCAGCAGAAAATCACTTAATTTTAAAAACTGGTACATTGTTTCCTTGGTAACACCGCAAAGTAGCAATATATCTCAATTTTTCTTATGATGTTGGTGTTGCAAGGTCCTAAGGATGCATATTTGCCCGTCTTGAAAATGCATGTTTTTCCTTAATAGCGAGCGCAGTGAGCGTCGCGAATCGACGCTCGCGAAGCGAGATTAATAGACTAGCTAACGTACGTGTAAGAGCAGAGGAAATTCGGAATATTATCTGTACATACGTCAGGCAAAGTTTCGTGTGAAACCTTTCCAGAATTCCTTTGCTTTCCAATACCCTTTGCGCGAATAAATAAATGAATAATAAGTAAACGTAAAGCAGAACAGGCTTTTAGTTTGAAGAAATATTTTAAAGAAACAAAAAATAACTATAATGTCTTTCGACAAATATTGCACTAGGTCTCTAGTTTCAAAAAGACGCTCGGTTGTTTGCGTAAACCCTGACGAGCTCTCGTGTGACGTCACAGTCTAGATGTCTCGTGCGACTTGACGTTCGAAGTGGCGGATCAACGTCACACCATAAAACATATTACAGTAGCATTAACCCAATCTTAGTTACTAAATTTGCTTGAATACACTGTGTTACTATGGCAACCATAAAAGATATTTATAGAATAACATTGCTTATACCAATATACTTAAGGACGTTCGATCCTGATATTTTGAGCGTATTTCGCGCAGGTCCTTTATTCATAAAATTAAGCATCATTTTTAGGTTCTAACAATAAAACTGAATTCTACAATGTAAATTAAACTATATTCTATGAAAAAACCGCGATTAAATTCCATTCAAGTAGAATTAAGCTAGGGACTATATTTTGTGGCGGAAGCTTTTTTAGACGAAAATGGTCAGTTTTTTTAAATTTGAACTATAACAGTACTGTTAATTTTGGATGCCTATTTTTCCATGCTGGTTGCACACAAAGCTGTTTTTTGCAGTGAAATATGTTATGCTGGTTCTGAAATATCTATTAAATTATTTTTTATGAATTCTATCAACAAAGTGTGACAAATATAGTAAATATATTTTGAAAATCCGGGGAAAAATTGAGCCAATTTTAACGTAAAATTCACACTTTTTTAGTAATATCTGAAAATGTACATCATATACCCCCACTTTTGATGTTCTTTTCTAAATATTCAAGATAACTTTGACCTATTTGCTTAAAATCAGAAAAAGTTTAAGACTTTAAAATAATTTTCTTGCTTATTATATTTTCAATGCCTTAAAAATAACATTTTATTAGTGCAGAAAGGTCAAATAATTAATTATGCGAAGCAATTTGAAACTTTTTCTTACTCACAGTTTTTAAGTGTCTTTTATTAAACAGACTTAGAGTTCATTTTGTTTCATGCTTTAATTGGATAAAAATATTGGAGGGAAAACGTCGAAGATGTAATTTTTTGTTAAGACACAAATTTCAGTGCAGAAAGGTCATATTAAATGTACTGTAGCGCTAAAAGAAGCATATTGACCCCCATTTTTTGATTTGAATTTTAATTAAGCTATGTATGTAGAAACTAAAAATATACTTGGCAAAAAAAGTTTAAGACTTTAAATATCAGGATCGAACGTCGTTAAGGATGAATTCTGATCATTTTACCCCAAGTGGGTCTTCGTGCTTAAACACGTCGTAAAATTCAAACTGATAACAATTTACAAACAAGTTTTTTAACTATATTTATTTTTTTAAAGAATCTTTCTATGTTGTATTGATGACCAAAACGTGTGCAAAATTACGATATTTACGACATAGGCCTAAGAAAGTCGACAAGTGAAAACATGATCGAGAGGGGAAAAAGACGGGATTGCCCTTTCAAAGCGACAGGAATGCCGAATGGCACTCCATTAAAAGAGCCAACCGACAGAAATTTTAAAACAATTAAAAATTCGCCGATATCACAATCAGGCCATGTACATTCTCGAAAGCGGCGCCCCAAACATGCCAGGCAAGGGCGCCGAAGTTTGTTGACGACGTTCCGATAGTAGTGGAAAAGCGAAAATGTAGGTTTCTAATGCTTTCAAACTTATTGAAAATAGCAATGTTTATGCATTATAGATACAAATGTTTCAAAATACCTAGTATACTGTCATATCGCAAACTGAAACATAGCATAAACATGTTACATACATGCACGGAACATTAACTAGGCCTAAGGGGTCTTCAGATTCGTGCAGACAACAGCATTCGTATTATCCTTTTTATTGCAACTTTAGCTCGTGGTATATGATAAATTTCCTTTGATATTGTAAATGCAGAATATCTATCCCAAATTTATAGACATACCGTACGAAAATGATAAGATTACACATAAAATTTTTAGCTGTTTACATTCCATAAGAAACTATGTCGCTTCATTCTATGGCGGCCTATGCGGGTTAAAAGATAGAATATTTCTGAAACATCATAGAACATGTAGAAATTATTTGATTCTAAACTACAGGCTTGGGTTCATAAAAACAAAGTCAGATAGACAAAATAATGATTTTACATTTTTTGAACAATGAAATTACCAGTAATTATAATCTTTTTTTTTTCAGGTAAGTCTTGTTGTCACAAGAATCACAAATGAAGAACTTTAGAAGAGAGCAGGGTTTTAGAACCACTAATATCAGATAGAGAAAACCATGCAAATCAGATTTGACTAATCCCAGGGAAGCCACCATTCAACACCACAATCCAGAACCCGCAGGGCAAGAGAAAGAGAGGACATCTAACAAACTATTATGAAGTTTTATGTGTTAAATAATTACTTTTTGTTCATAAAAAGCTTTTCTTAACAAAATTGCAATTAATACCTGAAATTTTCACACAAATTTTGAATATTTGGTGAATAAAACACATACTTTGAAGCCTATATATGCATTGATTTATTTTCATTAAATGCTGTAAAAGAAATAGGGGGTCGGGATATGAAAAATGTCAAAACTTTCTTATATATACACTAACCCCTACTTTTCATACAATGAAAAAAACCATAATACCTAAAGAAACTGTACAACAATTTTCTCAAAAAGTTTAATTATAGAAATATGTTTTTCTCTGTTTTTTTTAAATTTTAGAGGGAAAAATTTGCCTAAATTTGACACGAGTGAACAACATTTTTGGGTACAAGTTATCTAATTGGTGTTTATTTGCTCATATTTTGCTTTAAAAATTAAATTTGCAATACTTTTAAGGAAATTTAAGCCAAATTAGGTTTAAATTGATTGTATTTATAAGTTTATGAGGTATTTTTATGGTCTTATAGCTATTTTAATAAAATTTCCCATGCTCTATTTTGGCCTATGTTGGAGGGGTTGAATCTCTCTTAGATGAACACTAAAATACACTTTTCTTGTCTTTAAATTATTCCTTGGATATTACACTTTCAGAAAAATATGAGCATGTGGAAAGTTTAATGCACTTTTTTTCCGGGTATCAGAATACATCCTTAAAGTCAGTGTGTGACACTTTTTCATTATTTTTTTAAGTTGTTGATTGAGTTTGAGCATGTTACACCTACCATTCGTGAATAGTGAGCATTTTCAGCGTATTTATGGTTACATTCCAAATGTACCTTTGCTTACCACTTACTAAGAGATATATTCTTAACAGTTTCTTTACAGTAAAAGTTTTACATAGGCAAAAAAATCTTTTAAAATCTTCTTCCTAAGAATCACTAGGTCAGGAAAGATATAAAAAAAAATCGTGGAATCATCCTCGGATGGTGTAAATTCAACCATAGACCGGAAGAAAGTATATTCTTTTAAAAAAATAAATTGAATATATTTGAATCAATTTTGGCTTTCACACTAAATCTTTAGAGTGGCTACTTTTCGTGAACTGTTTAAAGTTGATTGCATTAAAAACATTGGCTTTTAAACATACTTGAGCATGAGTAACACATCTCCGAAAATAAATAAATGAAGAAAATTTTACGGTTAAACGAGACACATTTAAACTTTTTAGCGTTTTTACCGAGGTATGCAATTTATTACACATGCATGCATATGGCTTCCTAGAGACTCAAGTCAAGACAAGGTTTAAATCACTTGGGAATATAACTTCCTAGTCCGAATTAAAAACGTTTATGTCAATAATACGTGTTATCTTTATCAGAAAACGTCTAATCTTCGCGATACTGCTAAATATGAATACTGGTATGGAATATAAAGTGATTGCATTCCTTTTATTTCTGTTTAATATAAGTGGTAAGTAGAAATCAAAAATATGTAATATCATAATTATTTTTGATGTAACCAAGTATTTAGTCTTGTTTGTCATGCTGTAACAGATCTATACATGACAGAGGCAAGTTTAACGTGGAATATGGCTGAATTGAAATGTAAATACCAAAACAAGACTCTACCAAGCAAAGTAGATATAAACAGTTATAATTTCGAGGCATTCGAATTCAGCAGTGTTTGGTCGTCCTTAAGAGGCCCATTCACTCCTTGGATAACAAGTAAAGGTAAGTACAAACTTTAAGTAGAAATTTTACAGGGTAAAATGCCTTTTTTTTTAATGTCAAATTTAAGTAATTTTATATTTTAAAAAAGTTTTCACATTATATTTCATGATAAGATAAAGAGAAGAGTCTCTTCATTTTAGTCTTGCCATTGTATTTATAAAATGTAATAAAATTTGACTAAAAATTCAAATTCGTTGCAGTACATGTCCGTACATTATGCTGATTTGTGTTTTCAAAATAAACAAAATTAATGCAATGTTTATTTAATTAGAAATTTGTCATTTTCGACGAATTTTGATTATCAATAGTTTTAACAATATTTATGGACTTTCCAAGAAACAATGATTTTAACAATTAACAGCTTTACATAGAAATTTATACCTGTTATATCTACGGAGGTACAGAATGAAAAACGATAAGAAAACTTTTTCCAATAATAATCACTATGATTATAAAAATGGTGTTCAGGCACAGGCACCTGAGGTGTAAATGGACCCCTCCCCCAATTTTATTTTTTTTTAAATGTAAGAAAGAATAACTGTATGAGACCTCAAAAATATAAAAGTTCACCACCAATCACATCTTTATGTATTTCTATGCAAGCAATACCGTTTCATGTTTTTCCACTCGGGGAGCAGAGTTTTGAGCTGTTTACAGAGATGAAAGAAAACAAAGACATGCAATTCATATTTCGGGGTGTATATAAATTATTGTAGAAAACAAGGGTTATTAACAGTATGCCAGTGCTTTTCCTCTGAAAGTGTAGATGATTGCGTTTCTGAGGAAAGTAGTACTGAGTGTAATTCGGCGTTAGAAATGCAATGAATTACACTCTCAGAGGAAACACTGGCATACTGTTTATTACCCTTGTCTTCTACGATAATTTATCCACATAATCATATATGACATACATTCTTGGATTGTGTTATAATCGTTCTCTCTTGTTAGATTAAAAATAACATAGATAAAGAATACGGGTGTAGAAGTGATATCGTCCAGACATACAATTTTCAGTGTATAAAAATAGGTTCTGTAAGATCCGGATATAAATATTGGATCAGAGTACATGTATAGTAGTATAGTAAGTTTCTCAGACATATTTCTATTTTAAATGGTATTCCTCAATATTCATCATTTTGTAACACCTCTATTTTTTCTTAATACTACTTTTACAATGTAAATCCTTAGGTTGCTACAGGAAGTCTCAACAGTTCGTATGGCCTTTTATACAGCATTCCATACCAATAAATACAGTTGGAAATTGTTATCAACTATGCCAATCAAAAGACATGTATGAAGGAGGATGCAAATCAAGGAATATTTTCTATTTTGGATTAATGGTAATTTTAAGCACTTGTCATATTTATACTTAAACTTTAATATATTAGAAGCATTATGTAGGAATCAAGCCTCATTATATTTTCAGTCGGAAATATGCATCTGTATCTGCAACGTGGTACCTTTTTACTTTTTGACTGATAGCCAAAACTGTAATATACCATGCCTTTCTTCAATTGAAAACGGATATTGTGGCGGAAGCAATTTTATAAGTGTTTATAAAAAAGGTATGAAATAAAATTAAAGGTTGTTTTTCTTTAAAAATTATGAAAATGTTTAGGATATTTAAATTTTATAAAAGGTTTAGGAAGTTTTCCGATGTGACGATAAAAAATATTCATTAATTGTACATTCTTAGTATAAAATTAAACTGGAGTTAAGAGAAGTAAATTAAGCAACTTTAAACATGTATTTAAGAAATTAACAAAAAGGAACAATTCTCTCTGTTTCAGATTTTGCACAAAGGAACCTGGATATTTCAAAATTTTATGGATTTTGTTTAGTCTGTATGCATAATTCCAGTAATATTGTCTATTCTGGCAAAGACTGTCGAGAGCCTACACAAGGACTCTGTGGTACGATTTTCTATTATTATTGAGGAAATTCATTCCAATTTGAGGGTAACAGAGCATGAAATATAATTTGCATTTATAATGTTTATAACCTTTTCTAATTAAGTTGATGAATATGAAGTGCTTTCTTCAATGCCTTTTCAAAGAACCATGGATGATTACTGGGCGTACTGCAAGAGTAAAAATCTTTTTATAACTGGGAGTACAGAACCATCTTTTTGCTTCAGAAAAAACTTTATATGGACGGGACTACGTAAATACAGGATTTCCGATGGTAATATAATTTAAATTTTATTCTAGCTATAAAAGTAAAAAAAATCTTTGCAATCTTTGTACAATGTACAGCATCTACTTCCTTGAATAAAAAAAAGATTATCTGCTACAAAAACTTAAATAAACTAAACTTATTAAGTACCTTAACGTTGATGATTACTGGTTAATAAAACTGGAGTTAACTGAACTTAAATCGTAAAGGATGGGTTTAACTTTTAATCTTATTTCCTGAAGAATCAAATAGGGAAGAAAATGCGTTTTTTAAAGAAAATCTTTAAATGGCAAGAGTTGGCAAAGGTGGGTAGAAAGGGGGTTGAATACATTTGTTTTTGTAATTGAACCACAATTATCTTGAGTATTTATATCGTAAAAGAGTTTTCTTCCTAGCTTAAAAGGTAAATTATCGACAGTGTAAAACTCGCTGCTTCTCGGAAACTCCTTTGACAGATAAATTGTTGTTGGATTGATTTCAACAACTTCATTTAAAACGTCATGTACATGTAACCAATCAGTCGGCCATATTTATATTACACTAATTTTATCAACTGTTTACCAATTGTTAGGCCTATGATTTTATACTAAATTTGCTTTCTCCTCCTTGGCACGTGAGACAACCTCTGAAATTAAAGGGGTCCATTTTTATGTTCTCTTCCCAATTTATTTTACATAGATTTAACTGTTTGTTATTTTCAACATTATCATTGGAAGTTTTACATTTACACCACCTAGTTAATTCAAAATTTACATTTCATGTATTCTTCATGTTCTTGGGATGTTACTTTCTACATAAATAAAAGAATCTATTCCTTCAGTATCCAAGCTACTTCTGTACATAACTTGATACTTCGTAAATACGTGATTCATAAAAATATGTTGAATATAAATTATGTTTAAAATTGTTTTATTTCTCAAAAGGCAGCAACACTGAAGATGAATGCTATAGTCTTGAACAAACAGATGACTCTGACTGGGTATACAAGAGAAGAGATTGCAATGAAAATCTTCCCTTTGTTTGCAAACCATCTTCATTTTGTAAGCAATTGAATTATTTTACATTAGTGTCGAGAAACAGTACAAACCAGTTTCAAATAAACGTAGTTATTTGGCAATGAATGTATTGATAAACAATAATGTTTTAATTATTAAATATCATTTAAATCCATTATTAGTTAACCTGTTGACTAAGGGTTTCGCTAACCACCTTCATAAATTAAATGCATCTCAAACGATGGATTGTTTTTACTGAATAAACACTGTACATGTTTGCAGTGTACACTGTACGTGCATCTCCTGGGAAATAATGTCATTGGCACTGCTACTCTTAGCATTCTATATCCAGAGTTATCTTCCACTACGCTCACAACATCTTTGTCAACGCTCGTTATACAAGATTCTTGTACAAATTTTAAACAGCGAAGATTCGAAATTTAAATGATAATTAATTATTGTACATATTGATAAAGATGATAATTCATAATTTATTTTAAATCTATAATCACTCAGAACGACTTATTTTCAAAGATTTTAGAGAACAATTTTGCGGAGTAAAAATTAAAATCCTTTTAAAGTGTAACAAATTAAGATGAATAATGTTTTCCGATAAGAAATTTAATTACACACAATTATAAATACAACTTTTAATCAAAAACAATTTTTCCAAGAATCTTGTATAACAAACGTTGACAGAGGTGTATGTGGGAGAGAAGCGGGAACGACAACTCTGGATAGAGAATGCTACTCTTAGCATCATCGCCATTTTGGGCAAATCTTCTCCACCTTCAGGCTGAGAACTGAGAACTCAACATTTTAAATGAATATGAAATGTACTAAAATAAGTTTGATGAGAAAAACAAATTGCTTCTCATGATGTTAGAATATCATACCCAAAATTAAGTTAATAATTTGAAAATCAAAATTTCACCTTAGTTTCAATTCAGTATCTAAGCTAATAGTCTTTGCACCAGGGTACGTCTAGTGCATCCTCGACCAATTACCATCCCAGATAGTTGGTCTTAATACGGTGTCCAGATGGATAAATGAATTCGTTTTGTCAATATGTTTACGATTCATTCATATACTTTTCTTTTAAATGTTGACTGAGTTGAATGTGTTGTTATTTTCTTTTTTGTAGACTGTATCTAAAATAATTAAAACGAAAAGAAAAAAGTTTCGATTTTATATCATACGTGTATATTCAAAATAATTCCTTTTGTAACCCATCCAGATAACACTTCGAAAACGACAGCCTCGTTGCTCCCGAATACTGAAACTGATTTCCAGAATACAGATGTTGGATCTGCCAGTGGTAATGTTAATATAACTACGCGGTCCCCTATGCTGAACTTAAGAGACAAAGAACTCAAGTCAGGTAAAAAGAAATCTACACAATTAATGTTGTATATGAATTGTAATTGTGAATGACTAAATTTTGGTTTCTGCATGTATTGTCTCAGGTACCATTGGAGCAATTGTTGGTTCAGGTGTCGCAATCATCATTTTAAGTTTGTCCCTTATTTTGCTGTTTCTTCGTTTTAAGAAAACAAGGTATGTACAAATAGTTTATTTCGTTCGTATATTTATGTAGTTTCATGTAATCCATATCATCACTGAAAATGTGTACGTCCGCGTGGTGCAGTGTTTGCTCTAGAGTAAAGTGTTAATCTTTACGTTGAGGGTTCTAATATCCCCTAGAGAGTATACACAATGCACAGCCAACTCAACTCAACCATATGGGACACGGGGATATCATTTAGTGTGTTCTAGCTCATTGCTCACTGTACCCCTAGTTAAGCAAATGTGTTTTACTTTTTTCAGCAAATTGCGGACACCTTCAGTAAAGTTTACAAATAAAGCATACAAGGAAAGAGGCAATTATATTGTTGAAACAAACGATCTGAAGGAAAACTCTATTTATATCAACGAGATTTCAAAAAATTGTTCTCAGACAACAGCCGACCATGACGATGTTTATGTTGAAAATGCTGGAGGCGAGTATGACATCTTACACAGTTCTCGTCAGAAAAAGTCCTCTGATGACAACCCTCAGTATGACAGCATGATAGGATGGGATAATGCCTACTCCTCTACATCACAGCAGGATAATACAAACCATGGGAATAGGGATGAAAGTGATTACAACACTATGGATGGCACTCAGGATAGGAGTTGCTCAATTGAAAACTCTGACTATGACACTTGTAATCGTTATGTGACTTCTGATGGGAATCTGTATTAAAAAATATGGTCATAAATAATTAAGATATGCTTTCACATTGTTTTATGAAGAAAGAAATAATCTATCATCAACTTTAAATGTAAATCATTTTGA